GTCACATCTCGCTACGCGCTCGAATTGGACAGTGGGCAGGGCAAAGACGACGATTTTCGATAATTTTTTTCTCGTTAACTATTGCGAAAATTGCAAAATGTTTCAGGACTTTTCTGTTCATCTCGATCCGTTCTACCTTCTCACGAGCTCGTGGACAAATGTTATAACTCACCCTGTATAAAGGAACGGGGGAGCGAGAGGGAGCGAGAGGGAGCGAGAGAGGAGTGCGAGCAGAGGAAAGATCAGCCGTTTCCGGATACCGATCCATCCGCTTTAAACCGCCGCGGATCTTTCCTTCGTTTCGCGCACGATCAGACTCGGCGAGCTTTTGGGGGACGCTCGTTGATACATAAAGCTTTATTAATGGACTAACGCCCGGCCGCTGCAACGCCTGCGGCCAGCACAGAGTGGACAGAGCCGGTCGGAATGGCGCGTTAGCTCGCTTACCGGAAAACGCGTTGCTGCTCCGCAAACTAGGTGTGGCACTTTTCTGCAACGATCGGAGCTTAATCGCGTTTAGTCGCGGCGCGTCAAGCTGTGCGTCGTCCCGACGCAAATCGCGTTGACAGGAATATATCGTCTTGCCGGGAAAGAACGGGGGATATGTAGCCTCGTGTGAAATACCGTAGTTACAGAAATCAACCCTCCGTGTCTGGACACGCGAGTCTACTCCGAGTCAACAAATGTCCTCGTGACTGTATTCAGACTTTATTAGAAGTAAAACATTCAGTAAAATCATTTTTATCAGCAGGACATGGTCAACCACGATCTTAATTGAAAAATCGGAAATCCTATCTTTGCGTCGCAATATCTCCACTCATAAAGCATGCAGGGAAAAAAAATAAAAACACTTTTATTACGCAAATCGAACCCAAGCTATTGATTGAGTCTCTTTAGAAGTTCGTCGAATCAGCCGTTGTTGAGATCCGAAAATCTGAGGGCCCTCGTCTACAAATGTGCTCTTTACATCTAGAAACGTTCTATTTTATATACGCAAATTGAAACGCTTAAAAAATTTGTCGCCCAAGTCGACAATTGTACAATATATGTATTATATAACGTGCAACCTGCACACATTTTTAAACGTATTTATTGGCTACAAAATAGAATGTTTCCAGACGCAAAGAGCACATTGTAGATTAGGCTTTAAGGTGAGTAGCCTCGTCTCTTTCTAATTGTCCCCTAAAAGCCTGCACCCACTGAAAACAGTGAACAATCACCGATTTGCAGTTACAAGTATGAAAAGGACGTCCCCCCCCCCCCACTACCTGGACGACCAGGACGACGTTTCTTAAATGAAAAATCGGAAATTCTATGTTTGCGTCGCAATATCTCCACTCATGGGGCACGTAGGAGAAAAATGAAAACACTTTTATTATGCAAATCGAACCCAAGCTATCGATTGAGCGCACTTAGAAGTTCATCGGTTCAGCCGTTGTTGAAATCCGAATTATTGTTATTTTGTTGATTGTTAACGCGAGGAAAACAGCGTGTCGAACGCGACAGACCCGCGCGTTCAGTTGTTGGCTTAAAAATCTTATAGATACCAGAATGCGCGAGTCGACATTTCTTAATTGTGATTGAAAACAAGGGAACCGATCGACACAGACCCAGGGAACGAATAGAGTCCGATCTTTCAGTTTGTAACAGCACGCGCCGTGCATTTTCGATCCCGGGAGATAACTGCTCTCTCGCGCGAGGAACATTGACTTACGCGCGAACGATATCACGTGCCCGCCGTAGATTCTAAGTATCCGCCGGGAAATTATTCGCGACTTAAACGGGCACCGTGACAGCTATCGCCACCATTACCGGCACCACCAACACCGTCACTGCCATTATCACCGCGCCGCAACTCCCATCGGCGCCGCCGACGTTACCGTTCGTGCTTCTGACACCGCGGCAATACACCGGCGACTTATGAATATTTACGCCAGTTGAATATGCATACTACTGACAATGTATTATTTTTGCTCGACGGGAGATCAATATACTACCGCGCGACGCACCTACACGCGCGGAAGCAGAAGTGTACAACGGGAGCGCGTGCGTGCGCGGGCTGTTTGAGTTTTATCGTATCAACTGTTAATAGCAGATTTTGCGTGGAGAACGCAGGGACACAAAACCTCGATTAAAAATAGGAAAGTACGATGAAAAAAAAGCGAGAGAGAGACTTTTGTGCGAATGAAAAGGAAATTTTATCTGGCGGGAGATATTTGATTCGAAATTTCATCTCGCTGAGAAAGATCGAATGGACGGAGTTTGAATGAACAAACGATGGCTTTCTATAAAACGCTCGCCAAGACATCAAATTTTGCAAAGATTGATTATTGACGGTTGGCAGGCGGAACAACACCGTATATATCCGTGCGTCAAGTTTACGAACGGATGCGCAGGCGTATACAAAAGCAGTTACTTCAACGTACAGTGTACACGATCGTATTCTATTTCAGCGAACGTTGAAAACGCATCGAACGTGACTGGAACAACGATACGTCGTATGTTTTTTTTTTCAATACGCATCAATACGCTTCGCCATGCGAGATGAGCGATCGTCGAGTGAAATGACGACCCTCGCGATTCGCAAATCAGTTCTTAAGGGGATCCTAAAGCCGTCTGTTTTATCGACATTCTTTGTTAGAAGTAATCTTTTAATTGGCTCTATGGAAATGCAAAACTCTTTCACGTATTCAAAGTACGCAGCAAAATCTAGATTGCTGGCCAACTTTATATTTAAAAAAAACGAAAAAATCTTACTAATTTTTTGTACACTAGACAAGATTTGCTTGATACAAGAATTCTACAATAAATATATACAAAATAAGACCAGTATACTCTAGGGACAACATATAAGAACAATTAGAACTAAGATTAATAGCCTAGAAACAAAGATTACTTGTAATAAACGCAAGTCCAGAAAGCCAAGTCTAGAAGAAGAGAAAAAGAGCAGTCGCTGCCAAACGTCTGTCAGATTGTCAGTAAAGCCACGGTGTTGGCGATGCCAGAATTCGATCCAAAATCTCGATCTAATAAAATTGCTGCTTTTTCGTACAAGTTGCAAATTGATCGGCTATAAATTTCTCGGAGTAGAACTTGGAATTAAAAATGTCGATAATTGGCGTTTGTAATTCCGTCTCCTATCTTATCGACGCTGATCGAGTTCGCGACTTTAGGATCCCCTCAAGAGCAATCGCGCGAGTCACGAATACCATCGCGAGACGCACACTGCGGAGAAAAATGTCGTTGCCCGTCCGATCGAATCAACGCGTTAAACTTTTCCCAGGTGCGTCGACAGTCGACAGATCTGAATGCTGCCTAACGCGAGCGTCAAAGTGTCGTTTTCGCGTGTCTCGTGAATTAGCAAGAAACCTATTTCGTCCCGAGACATTCGTCCCGCCCGGCGCATTCATCAAGAAACGATCATCGGTGCATTATGACCGCGCGCCGTGACCGACGTGGCACCGGTACACAGGAATTAGCCATTAAGCGGAATGACGTGCGATTTCTCGACAGACGTTTCCGCGGTGAAAGGAGACTGCTGGAGAAATTTAATGTGCCTCGCGCACTCGAAAAAAGGGGGGTCCTGCGGCACCGTAATTCAATTAGGCTCGCTGCATCGAAATTTAATGGGCCGCGACGTGGCCTGCAACTTCGCCTTGGAACGATGCCACAGCGCGTCCGGCGCGGGCCGTGTCCGATGCAGAAAGGGCACGGCGCGCACGTTGCGCGCCCTTTTGTGCCCGAAGGGCCAACAGAAGTACCCGGAAAAGAAACGAGAGGAAAAAAGAACGGCGGACATTCCCGTCCACGTACAATAAGCACCACGAGCGTTTCCGCGCGAGTTTTTCTTCTTTTTTTTCCCCCCTCGAGAAAATGACACGTACTTATGATATACCTCTGTATTGGTACAAGTTTAATTAATCGCGTTAAAAGTTGAAAAAATAAAAAAGCAAGAAATTAGAAGTTTATATTTTTACAACAATTAATAAATTCACAAAGCTCCGACGTGAAATTCCCAGTCGAAGGAATAAGAGCCAAGGCAGGATGTTAAGTGTCTAAATAATTTTAACTTAAAAATTTATTGCGAAAAATATTACCTCAGCCAGGGGTATATTTTTAATTTAATTTTGGATACTCGTCTTATGCCGGTCGGAGAGCACGGGATTATTTAATTTATCTGTGCCCGCGTCGCTGAAAATGACTCAAAGTGGAGATGAAACGCACGACTCGCATTGCTTGTATTGCAATGTAAATCAAAGTTAAATAAAGTTGGCTCACGCACAAAGGCCCGCGTTTGACTCTCGAGGCCTACTTTTCCCTTGTTACTCCTTAATTATATTTCCCATTATTTGATACAAGTTTAAATCTTCGTGCGCGCGCTTTAACCTCGCGTTTGAATTACGACATATGTCAAATGCTACCTCTCACGGTTTCCACTCAGCGTCCGCTGTTTACTCACTGGCAACGTCGTGATTTATGAATATGTAGACACGGCGTCTTTTTTCCTAGATCTTTTAAAAGTACCTATTAACGTGAAGACATTTATGAACCCTGACTAGCGTACGCGCGGCCGTTTTGACGAGTAAATTGAAATCGCTGCTACGAGGTCGAATGTGCTTAACTCGTCGCGCGAGGCTCCGCTCGTTGGTTATTGAACGGGATATTGGGAAATCTTGGTGAGGCCCGTTTTCGTTGCCTTCCTCAAAGGAAGCGCGCATCTTGCGATATTTGATTGGAAATTCTTGGATTCAATATGAGCGCGGCGATTTACGTCGAGCGTACAGACGTAGAAGTTATTTGCCGAAGAGTGCCCACAGCCAATATCGATTAAAGTTGAACAGCGAGTGTTCCAGAAAACCGTAGTCTCCATCTTCATTTCAATTCTGTTAAACGTAAAGACCGTTTCTCGACAATTTTTCGCCTAGCTCAATCGGTTCGCGTTGGTACGTTTCGAAGGTCCGCTTATTATTTAAAATAATCGACTCTAATTGATCGCTCACCTTCTTTGTCGATGGAGAAAATGCCGACGCCGTCGCCTCCACGGATGCTGTATCCGATCCTCGAGTCACCGCCGGGCGGATCCGCGTCCTTCGCTCGCACCGTCGTGACGAGGGTGCCGATGGGTTGGTTCTCGAAGACACTCGCGGACACGACGAAGTCGTCGAAGACCGGCGAGTGAAGGTTCTCGTTGACGTCAATCACCTCGATGACGAGCAGCGTCTCGGAGGACAGGGCCGGGTCGCCGCGATCGCGCGCGACTATCGTCAGCGTGTGCACCTGCCGCTCCTCAAAGTCCAAGCTCTGAGTGGTCCTCACTGTGCCCGACACCTTGTCGACCTTGAAGAAGCCCTCGCTCTCCATCGCGTCCGACAGGAAGTACTCGACGTCGCCGCCCGCGCCCTCGTCGGGATCCGTGGCGTCCACGACGGCGACGACGGTCCACACCGGCACGTCCTCGCGGATCTTAACGTTGTAGCTCGACAGCGCGAAGGTGGGCGCGTTGTCGTTGACATCGTCGACCGTCACTCTGACGAGCGCGTCCGAGTACAAGGGCGGAGCGTCGTTGTCCTTGCCACCGTTATCGCGCGCGCGGATCCTCAGCTCGTATATCTCCTGTCGTTCTCGGTCGAGTTTCCCAAAGATGCTCAGTACACCCGTCACGGGGTCCACGCGGAAGTCATTGGTCTCCGTCACGAGAGAGTAAGTGACGCGCGCGTTGTCGCCGAGGTCAGCGTCGGTGGCGTTGGCGCGCCACACGTTGGTGCCGTTCAGCGCGGTCTCGGAGATCCGGAAACTCGCCAAGGACTTTTCAAACTTGGGCGCGTTGTCGTTGACGTCCAGAATGGTGATGGGCAGCATCTTCGAGGCGGATTTCTGCGGCTTGCCCAGATCGAATACGCTTATGTTGAGGTAATACTCGCTCTCCCGCTCGCGGTCCAAGTAGCCGATCGTGTTGAGGTCGCCGGTGTCCGGATCGATGCCGAAGACGGAGTCGCGGTCGCCGCTGGATATGACGAAGACGAGCTTGCCGTTGTAGTCGAGGTCGCGATCGCGGGCGCGTATTCGCACGAGGATCGTGCCGAGCTTGAGCGACTCGTTGACCCGTATTTCATTCGGGAAATCGATGAACTCGGGCGCGTGCACGTTCTCGCCGTAGCGACTCGGTATCAGGGTGTACTCGTCGTCCCGCGACGGCATGTTGTTCTTCTCCGCCGAGGCGATCGCGTCCGTCAATCTGCGCGCCACGCCGGTGTCGTGGCACTCGAAAGCGCCGGACTCGTCCGTCAGGATTCGCGCCTGCGAGCCCAGATTCCGTTTGGCGTTCACTAGATGTACGTGCACGGGATTGACGTCCGAGAAGTGCGTGCCGTCGGTGGCGGTAACGTTGATGGTTCTCTCGGCGGCCTTGATGTCCGACAGGTCGCAGGCGACCGAGAGGACGCCGCTGGCCGAGTCGAGAGCGAAGCAGCCGTCCGAATTGCCGGACACTATGCGGTAACTGACCATGTTCCCGGCGTCGAAGTCGATCGCGGACACGGTGATGATCTCGGAGCCGATCGACACGTATCGCGGCACGCGACCGCTGCAGTCGATCCGCTCGAACTGCGGCCTGTTGTCGTTCACGTCCCGCAGCTTCACTCGCAATTGCATCTCCGCCTGGCGCCGATAGGGCAGGCCCCAGTCGCTGGCCCGCACGTGCAGCAGATACTCCCGCTTCATGGTCTCGTAGTCGAGCACCTGCCTGGTCTTGACGATGCCGGAGAAATGATCGATCTCGAACGGTACTTTCTTCAGGTTGTCGATACTGTAAGATATGTAGGCGTTCTCGCCGGAGTCGCGATCCTTGGCGGTAACCCGCACGACGGACGTGCCGGCCGGCTCGTTCTCGTCCAGCAGCACCTCCATCTCCGGCTGGTCGAAGATCGGATCGTTGTCGTTGGTGTCGACCACATTGATCTTCACTTTCGCCGAGGATTGCTTCCTAGTGCCGGCATTGCCCTGATCGATCGCCGAGACCGTGAGCGTGTAAAACGCCTTCTTCTCGGCGTCCAGATTGACGGCCGTGTAAAGCATCCCGGTCTCGGCGTTCACGTGAAACTCGCCACCCTCGTTGCCGCCGACTATCTCGAGGTACACCAGCGCGTTCCTCCCCTCGTCCGCATCCGTCACCTTGAGTCTTATGATCGGCGTGTTGACGGGCGCCGTTTCCGGCACCTTGACCTCGTAGATCTCGCGACTGAACACCGGGGCGTTGTCGTTGACGTCGGCCAAGTGCACCGGCACGAATTTGTAACTGTACCGCTGCGGCACCCCGCGGTCCATCGCGCGCAGGGTGAGATTGTAGCCCTGCAGCGCGGTCTCGCGATCGAGCAGATGCAACACCTCGATGTTGTACTCGCCGGAGCGCGGCCCGCCGGCCGGGCGCACCCTGAAGTGTCCGGCCGGGTCGCCGCCCACGATGTCGAGGCTCGCGATTTGGCCGTGCACGCCGTCGTCACGGTCGATCACTCGCACGATCGCGTAGATGTCGGCGTTCGAATTCTCGACGATGTCGGGCAGCTGCTGCACGTAGATCTCGGGCGCGTACAAGTTCACCTGCCGTACCCTGATCGTGACCCTCGCGGTGCTCGCGCGGCTGGTACCCGCGCTGCGGAATAGAGCGCCGCGATCCTTCGCTAGCACTACCAGCTCGTGTATGGCGCGTTCCGCGTACCTAGCAGAGAAACCGAACCGTTTGCTAACGTGTACGCTGATGATTCTACGAATAGTTTACAGAAACAGAGAGAGAGAGAAAGGAAGAAGAGTTTGTTCAATAACTTCATGCTGGAATACAGCGCGCAAGAAAGTGCATAGCCACAATGCTACGCAAAACAAATAGGGTAAAGGCACCTAATATCGCCTGCCAAAATTCAAATCGTTCTCACGTAAAAAGTATTTGACAGTTTTGTCTGTGTTTAGTCTCAAATCAAAGAGGAAGCATTTGTGTTTCATGTACAATACGTTAGAACGGTTAGAATCTAACAAATTTTAATCCACATAGAAAAGAAACATAAACGGCAAAATCGGGGTTTGAAAAATATACCTTATAAATTTTTATAAAATCACTGTTTATCAATACGTATGAGTTTGTGAAGCTATTCATTACTTTACATCATATAAACGTTTGTAGGTCTCCAAAATCTTTTTAATTTGCGATTACGTTTGAAAAATATTATACAGGGTGTTACGTAATACCCGCCTCTTATTTACGGATAGAGCGGACCGGACCGAGTCGAAAAGGCCTCTACCATTTTGCAATTTTCGCAATAGTTAACGAGTTATTAATTATTAAAGCTCGCTGTCTCAGCCCCGCCTACCGCCCAATTAAAGCGCGCTGCGAGATGCGATCGTCCCGCGTTCGGCGTTGCTAGGCGCGCGGGGAGTCTAGCCTAGCAACGCCGATCGCGGGACGATTGCATCTCGCAGCGCGCTTTAATTGGGCGGTAGGCGGGGCTGAGATAGCGATTTTTAATAATTAATAACTCGTTAACCATTACAAAAATTACAAAATGGTAGAGGAGCTTTTCGACTCAGTCTAGTCCGCTCTATCCGTAAATAAGAGGTGAGGTGGGTGTTGCACAACACCCTGTATATAACACAACATTTCGAAATATTTATACATCGAGTCAATTTGTACTCTTTCTTACTCTTTTTCTTCTTAAAAATGCATGCACATGATATCGCCTAGGTGTGTATTACTACGGACACTTCCGTAATAATATGGTGGACGGTACTGAGTGCATCCTAAGCTACCCGAACAACACGTATGTCTAAAAGGCATCTTTAAGACGTCTTTGAGTCATCTTTTAGATATGTACATATGTTTTAAAGACGACTTAAAGACGTCTTAAAGATGCCTTTTAGACATGCGGGCTGTATGGGTAGATACTAAAAATATCGTAACAAAAACGTACACGTTGAAATTAGTTAAAAATAGTGAAGTATATCACTAATTATGTATTCTTAGTAAATATTTATATATTAAAAGAATGTTTGAATTTATATTGTCACTATGGGGTGTCAAATTTGCGCTGTCTGCTAAATTTTTCAGCACTCAAAATTTGTTTTAAAGCGTCTTCTGATGCCGAGTCAGACGTTACTTCTATAACGTTGTAACTACAATATGTCTTACACAAGTTTAGCTACTAATTCTATGTATTGGAGATTGATATCAGCACTTTGTTCACGAGATATCACAAGTTGTGATATTACATTCTGAGCGATATCAGGTGCCTTTACCCTACTTGTAATACGCGAAAACAAAGCAGAAAATAACAGGAGAAATATAATCGAGCTAATCTCGCTAGAGCTACTTAAAGATTAATGTATAGTTTGTATCTAAATGTTTCCTGCGGTAAAAAAGAAAAATAAAATGAAATAAATCAAACCGCTCGTGTTTTGCATAAACAAATGTAGAGCCAAAATATATCACGAGCAAATATCAGGTGTTTGTTAACAATCATAATTTTAATATTTTTAAAATAATAAAATTTACATGGACACGTTTTGGCAACACGGTGTCTTCATCAGCATACAAATAAATAGAAAAGTTGATAGTCGAACGATAAAAAAACATTGTAAGATGGTTACACAATTAAAGTACTGGTAGTTATTTCAATTCTTTATAAAAATTTTAAGTTTCCGTTGCCTCGACGTGAAAACAGTTGCCTCTTCAAATTAAAAACTAGCTAGGTGAACGGTAAAATGAAAAATGAAACAGTATATTGCACAAATCGTCATTACGAATTTTCATTATACAGCCAAACATTCATTGATTTCGAATTAAACGAAATTATACTTTCGAGCTTGGAATTATTAAAACAGGTCGCGATCGTGCAATTTATTCTGAAATCTACACTACCGAGGTACCGGGAAAAAAGACATGCACTTACCTGAGCGGTCTTGTGAGCGTTATCACGCCGCTGACCGGATGAACGGCGAACTGATCGGTCTCCTCGGCGAAGCTATAGTAAATCTCGCCATTTCTGCCGAGATCGGCGTCCTCGGCGATTACCCTGAGTATGCTGCGATGCAAAGGCGTGTCCTCTGTCACGGTGGTCTCGTACTCGATCGGATAGAAGAGCGGATTGAGATCGTTCGTGTCAAGGATCGTCACCACCACCGTGGCGTCCGCCTCGAGCGTAACCACTCTGCTTCTACCGTCGCGTTTGCTCGAGGTGGCGCGCACCTCGAGCACATACCGGTCCTTGCGTTCGCGATTCAGCACGTCGACGCTACTGGTTCGAGTCCGAATGAGGAGGAAGCAAAAGTCGCCGACCGTACGCTCCTCCGCTTTAAAGAACTTATCGCGGTCGCCGCTCACTATGCGAAACTTAACGTCGACGTCACTGTCGGCGGACGCGAGCTTTATGCCCATCCTCTCCTCGGGCACGACGTACGTCTTGCCGATGGAATTCTCGGGAATGGAGACGTTGTACAGAGACTGCGTGAAACGGAACTCGGGCTCCGAGGAAAGACTCGCGTCGTCCTCGAACGCGATCGGCAGGGTCGTCGCGGTGCCGATCGAGGGGATCGATGGCTTCAGCGAACCCTCGCTGCCGTCGCCTCCCGCGCCTCCATCTCCGCCGCCACGTGGCGGTAGAAGAGTCGTCGGCCCGGGGGTGTCGGAAGACGGGGAGCCGGCCGTGGCCGCGAACAGCCACAGCCACAACCATGGCCAAGCGTGCAGCGCGCGCTGCTTCATCCTGTGCATAATGGTGTCGCTAGCTCATCGTCGGTCCCTGTCGACGAACGCTTCCGCCCGGTTTGTCTTCCGCCCGGCAGAACAAGGCCACTGCGAGGCACGAGACTTCCGGCCCCGTTTCGCGTATCGACGGCGGTCACCTGAAACAGTAAACAGCGCGCAAAGTTAGACCGAGTGGTAAGTTGAGCGGAGATGAGAGGAGGCCCGTAGTCTAGCACGTGAGTGTACAGTCAAACGACAAGATCCAAGATTATCTTCCACGACAGCTACCGACTTCCAGCCGATCGAGCGCGAAGACTAGACTAGGTTTAGGGGAGGAAGTTGGGACGAGCGAAAGGGGAGAACGGATGGGGACCAAACTCCCTTCCGGTTGTGCATTATTGATCGACGGGCGCGATCGACGTGCGAAATGGCAGATAAATCACTGGAGTGCGAGACGCTGCGAATACTGTGCTATCCGAATCAATTATTTATTGATGAGACTCTTAACTTCGCTCAATTGTCCATTTCGCGGAATTCCGTTCAACGTAAAAGGGACAATCAAATGCAATTATGTATTCGTTACGTCGCTTCGGTGAAATGCAATTGTCCCGGAAGAGTGCTATAGAATATTCACGTATCGAAACGCAAATTAAAATTCCATTGACATTGCAGCGCTCGATCGAGTACGCCAATCGAGATTACTTCTTGCAGAAGATTCAGGTTAAATTATTCTTCGCAGTAAAGTTATAAAATATTCCGCTCCTACATGTACACGTGTGCGCGCGTGTCTGTGTGCGATCTCAATTGAATCCTTTTGAATGCGCGATGTAGAAAGACAGTGAAAATTACCAACATTTAGTCCAACAATTGCCAAATAAACCCCGGCCTAGAAATACAAAGTGAATTTACCGGTTACAGTACGTCACCAAGTTGTTTTTTTACTCCTTCTTAGCGACAGCAGAAACTTTCTTTCTCTCCCGACCGAGGGATAAACCGCTGACCAAAATCATGTACATCAACACCTACTGATGCCCAGTGGGTATTACTTTATTCGAGGGGGAAACCACTGAGAGCATTGTGGTGTATAGATTTGCGGCATTACTGGGCATTACTAGGCATTTTTTGGGCATTAAGCCTTGCCGGGACATTACAAAGATAAAATAAGATGATAAGACAAACTAGTGCCCACTGGGCATTAGTGGGCATTGGTGTACAAGGTTTTGGGCCAGCGGTTTCTCCCTCGACTTTATCTTATTATCTCATTTTATCTTGTCTCATCTTTTTAGATTCTTTATAATGCCCCAGCAAGGCCAAATAACACCCGCTAATGCCCAAAAAATGCCTACACGGAGAGACCGATATGGTTACCACATGTCTAATTAGGGTTGGCACAACCCCAATAAATAGTAATATTTGCGACAGCTGTACCTGTGGTTGTCATTCCCACATTGGCATGAAAAGTAGTGGAGACAACTGTATGCGTTTTGTGCAGCAAACTTAGCGAAAGTTGCAACGCAAAACAACGTAGATGCCCCCACTATTTATACGGCAACATTTTTATTTTACAACGTTAGTGTTGTCTCGGCCATATCTGGTATCTTTAATAATTCAGAAAATTTATTGCGAAAAATATTACCTCAGCCAGGATTTGAACCTGAACCTCTCTACACTCTAGGCCAGGGGTGGGCAAAATGCTGCCCGCGGGCAACGGGCGCCCGCGGGCGCCCGCGGGCATGCCCGCGGGCATGCCCCCACTCCAATCATCGCCCCACCACGTCTCAATCATATTCGGAACTATACTTCTAAAGCGCGACGTTCTTTCCCACTTACGAAACTGTCTCCCCACTCTTGCCGAAACTGTCTCCCCACTCTTGCCCGACACGCACAGCTATTGCCCGCGGGCAAACGGGCGCCCGCGGGCAGTGAAAATTGCCCAGGCCTGCTCTAGGCGGGCGTCTCACCAATCTGACCACCGAGACATATAAACATCACCCTGGCTGAGGTAATATTTTTCGCAATAAACTTTCTGTATTGTTAAAGGTGCCGGATATGGTCAAGGAAACACCAACGTTGTTAACTATTGCTGGTGACATTGAAGAATTCTTATTAGTTGATTTTCATTTTAGTTACTTTTGCCTTATCCGGTCTTTCCGTGTAGTAAGTCCCAGTCTACAATAGATGATTTAAGCCCTGAGGTTTAAGAAATTGGCCAATCACGGTCAAGTATGAGCAGAATACGCGACTGTGATTAATCAATTTCTTAAGGCTTAGGGTTTAAATCTCTATTGTAGACTGGGACTGATGCTCAGTAATGTCCTCAGCGGTGCGCACCCCTCGCTCTCGACAGAGGGCGGGATACAAAAGTATCATTTTTTTTCAAAGATATGCTAAGCCAGATGAGCAGTGTCTCATGAATTCTCGCCAGCGCGACGATCACTTGGCCGTCTGACAGCTCCGGGACCAGAGCCGCGATATCGCGTCAGGATGCAGGTGGGGTGCGCCAGAGGCTACCAGAATTTTGCCTATCTTCCCAGTGTTCCGCACTCGTATACTCTCTAATCTTGACCGGCGATGCCACCCGGCCGCATTTGCGCGAACCGATGTATGTATATATTGCCGCGCATTTGACAGCCCGGTATCGATACGTCCGCCCCGTTGGAACAGGAACCATACATCTCGCCAGCGAAAGCGCACTCGCAAATCCGAATGAATAGCGGGTTACAGTCAGTTGTCCGCTCCCCGTTGTGGGGAAAGGATTTCGAGATGTTCGCGAGCGAGAAGATCTAAATAATTATCAATCTCGAGTTACCCAACGTTTGCAGACTGCGATAGTCTGAACAAGAGAACGAGCGCAATCGCGTGCTCTCCAGTCGCGTAATTATCTCCCGGAGACAAGACGGGAGCCCCTCGCGAGCGCCTTGTCGCGAGCGAGTCGCGAAGTCGCGGAGAGGAAATGTTTTCCGCGTCCGTTACTGCACGCTGGAAGTTATTTCACTCGGAAATTCGTGAGGGGCGACGCAGTTATTATTGCAGGACGCGTCCGCGCTTTAATGGCAAACGGAAAGAAAATTGACCTTTGACTCCCCTACAAAGTAAAACGTGGGGACATCGAGATACGTCTCTGGTTTTCGCTCGCGCGGACTCGGAGCCAATTACGTAGCCACTGATTCATAAACGGCGTAATAAAAAGCGCTTAAAGGCGCCGGGCGCATTTTTCTTCCCCTCGCAATTCCGGCGCTGTATCTTTTCCACGATAATGCGCCCGAAGAACGCGCGCGTGCAAGTAAAACGAGGCGGGCGAGCGAGCTGCGCGCCAGGTTGGCGCCTCTCAACGCTCGCGTTACGCCGCTACCGCGTTTGAAGCCTTGCACCCAACCTTGAAGGCGTCGCCGACCAGTTGACATTCTCTCCTCGCACTTCGAATCTCGATACCTCGACGAGGCGAGGTCTCGCTTTTCCGTTTAACGAATCGAAAATTGCACAATCATCGATTACCGAAGGCTGCCAAAGCCGCGGGATTTAATGTTTTAAACGACGCGAAATTCAAAGAGCTACGCCCGGGTTAAACGAGTGAGACACGTTGAAATGACATTTCTTTGAATCTGCTAAATTTTTATTCACTTCCACTAAAACACTTGCCAGATCCGAAGGTAAAGAAATTATTTCTTTGAAACGAAACAAAAGTCCAGGTAAGGTCGAAATTGAAAGAAATTTGATTTCAGACCAACCTTTCTCCGGGTGCGCGAAAATGAAGTGTATTCTATGAGAATTGTGAGACGTGCCTTGCAGCGAACGATTATTATTTTACAAAGAGAGCTGAAGGGAGACGAATGAGTTTGATATTTTTTTAAATTGAGAAATAAATCAATTCCACAAGTTCGCCAGTGGCGTTTAACGCACTTGCGCGCACAACGCCTGAAATACACGACGGAGGTGTTAATCGACACAAACACACACGCGCGCGCGCGACGCTACATTTCTATGTGAGCGCGACAACGTTCGCCACCATATCAAATATGCTCTTCAGCAAGCGTGTCGACCGCTGAATACATTTTCCCCGGATTTATACTGCTGCATTACACGGTCAAGTCCGGGGGAAATCCCGTCGCAATCTTGCCAAATATATTTGCATACGAGGCCGGATATGTAGAGAGACCCCCCGGAGTCTGCGCGACTCCGTCGCATGCATACGTAAATAAAATCACGCGTTTCTTTCATATCCGCTTAAATTCACTCCGGGATATCCAAGAGCGACAGACAGGCGAATAGAAAAATAGACGGGAAAGACGTCGGCACAATTTCTTCCGCAATCCCTTTCGCGATAGTTGGGGCGCCGCTCGCGGTACGTTCGTCTAGCTGGAATGACTACCGTGACAAAGTGAGATTACGCGGATATCGAGAATGACGACGGACGGCTGAGATTGTACTCGACTCGGTTTCCCGAAAGCCGTGGGGCTTTCTCTCTCCCTCTCGCTCTCTCTCTCTCTCTCTCTCTCTCTCTCTCTCTCTCAAAGGAGTCAAGACACCGAGGCTGAATTGCAGAAACAACGAACCGCGACGCAGAGAGCCTTTGACAGCGGTGCAAAAACATTGGAACGAAATTACGTGCTTCTCTTTTACCTGTATCGCCCTCTTTTCTCCTTTCGACGGGATTTAAACGGCTTTGAGCTCGCCACGAAAAGTTGAGAGCACGGGATGATTTCGAAGGCCCCCGAAGACGGTCTTACGGCGGTACGGAGGTCGCGACAATGCTCGCGCGGAAGCTCGTTCTGCCAGTTAAATCGAGCATGAATGCGCGATGCCGCGCGCAGAAAACGGAGCATCGATCTCTCTCTCTCTCTCCCTCTCCCTCTCTTTCTCTCGGTAGAGGTATATGGCGGGGATTTAAAAATGATCGAGGGACAGATAGTGACGGGACAAAAGAAAAACTGCGCGGCGCGAATCGCCCGAGAATATTCCCGCGATATTTTTTCGTGCGAATAAACGTACGTTCGTTTCCCCGGTGCACTGTCGGCGAGAAAATGCGGCGGGTCCGCCCGGGTCGGACGGACGGCGAGCGAAAACAACGTACGCCGTCGGTATTTCAATGCGAAATACGCGCGGGCGATCGCGCGTCCATTTGAGGGA